CCCCATCTTGGCGCACCCCTCACACGTTTCGTGGCCCCATAGGGAGCCGGACCGAAGGCCCCAGTGGCAGCGCCCTCATGCAGTTCCACCCCCATCTTGGCGCACCCCTCACACGTTTCGTGGCCGCATCGGGAGCTCCACCGAAGGCCCCAGTGGCAGCGCCCGCATGCAGTTCCACCCCCATCTTGGCGCACCCCTCACACGCTTCGTGGCCCCATAGGGAGCTCCACTGAAGGCCGCAGTGGCAGCGCCCGCATGCAGTTCCACTCCCATCTTGGCACACCCCTCACACGTTTCGTGGCCCCATGCATAGGGAGCTCCACCGAAGGCCCCAGTGGCAGCGCCCGCATGGAGTTCCACCCCCATCTTGGCGCACCCCTCACACGTTTCGTGGCCCCATAGGGAGCTCCACCGAAGGCGCCAGTGGCAGCGCCCGCATGGAGTTTCACTCCCATCTTGGCACACCCCTCACACGCTTCGTGGCCCCATAGGGGGCTCCACCGAAGGCCACAGTGGCAGCACCCGCATGCAGTTCCACTCCCATCTTGGCGCACCCCTCACACATTTCGTGGCGACATAGGGAGCCCCACCGAAGGCCCCTGTGGCAGCGCCCGCATGCAATTTCAATCCCATCTTGGCGCACCCCTCACACATTTCGTGGCCACATAGGGAGCCCCACCGAAGGCCCCTGTGGCATCGCCCGCATGGAGTTCCACTCCCATCTTGGCACACCCCTCACACGTTTTGTGGCCCCATAGGGGGCTCCACCGAGGCCCCAGTGGCAGCGCCCGCACGGAGTTCCACTCCCATCTTGGCACACCCCTCGCGCGTTTCGTGGCCCCATACATCGGGAGCCCCGTCCAAGGCCACAGCGGCAACGCCCGCATGCAGTTCCACTCCCAGCTTGGCACACCCCTCACACGCTTCGTGGCCCCATACATAGGGAGCCCCGTCCAAGGCCCCAGTGGCAGCGCCCGCATGCAGTTCCACTCCCATCTTGGCACACCCCTCACACGTTTCGTGGCCCCATACATAGGGAGCTCCACCGAAGGCCCCAGTGGCAGCGCCCGCATGCAGTTCCACTCCCACCTTGGCGCACCCCTCACACGTTTCGTGGCCCCATAGGGAGCTCCACCGAAGGCCCCAGTGGCAGCGCCCGCATGCAGTTCCACCCCCGTCTTGGCACACCCCTCACACGCTTCGTGGCCCCATAGGGAGCCCCACCGAAGGCCTCAGTGGCAGCGCCCGCGTGGAGTTCCACTCCCATCTTGGCACACCCCTCACACGTTTCGTGGCCCTATACATAGGGAGCCCCGTCCAAGGCCCGAGTGGCAGCGCCCGCATGCAGTTCCACTCCCATCTTGGCACACCCTCCACACGTTTCGTGGCCCCATACATAGGGAGCTCCACCGAAGGCCCCAGTGGCATCGCCCGCATGCAGTTCCACTCCCATCTTGACGCACCCCTCACACGTTTCGTGGCCCCATACATAGGGAGCCCTGTCCAAGGCCCCAGTGGCATCGCCCGCATGCAGTTCCACTCCCATTTTGACACACCCCTCACACGTTGCGTGGCCCCATAGGGAGCCCTACCGAAGGCCCCAGTGGCAGCGCCCGCATGCAGTTCCACCCCATCTTGACACACCCCTCACACGTTTCGTGGCCCCATACATAGGGAGCCCCGTCCAAGGCCCCAGTGGCAGCGCCCGCATGCAGTTCCACCCCCATCTTCGCGTACCCCTCACACGTTTCGTGGCCCTACACGGAACCCCACCGAAGGCCCTAGTGGCAGCGCCCGCATGCAGTTCCACTCCCATCTTGGCACATCCCTCACACGTTTCGTGGCCCCATACATAGGGAGCCCCGTCCAAGGCCCCAGTGGCAGCGCCCGCATGCAGTTCCACCCCCATCTTCGCGTACCCCTCACACGTTTCGTGGCCCTACACGGAACCCCACCGAAGGCCCCAGTGGCAGCGCCCGCATGCAGTTCCACCCCCATCTTGACACACCCCTCACACGTTTCGTGGCCCCATACATAGGGAGCCCCGTCCAAGGCCCCAGTGGCAGCGCCCGCATGCAGTTCCACCCCCATCTTCGCGTACCCCTCACACGCTTCGTGGCCCTACACGGAACCCCACCGAACCCCATACATAGGGAGCCCTGTCCAAGGCCCCAGTGGCAACGCCCGCATGCAGTTTCACTCCCATCTTGGCACACCACTCACACGTTTCGTGGCCCCATCGGGAGCCCCACCGAAGGCCCCAGTGGCAGCGCCCGCATGCAGTTCCACCCCCATCTTGGCACACCCCTCACACGCTTCGTGGCCCCATACATAGGGAGCCCCGTCCAAGGCCCCAGTGGCAGCGCCCGCATGCAGTTCCACCCCCATCTTCGCGTACCCCTCACATGTTTCGTGGCCCTACACGGAACCCCACCGAAGGCCCCAGCGGCAGCGCCCGCATGCAGTTCCACTCCCATCTTGACACACCCCTCACACGTTTCGTGTCCCCATACATAGGGAGCTCCTGTCCAAGGCCCCAGTGGCAGCGCCCGCATGCAGTTCCACCCCCATCTTCGCGTACCCCTCACACGTTTCGTGGTCCTACACGGAACCCTACCGAAGGCCCCAGTGACATCGCCCGCATGCAGTTCCACTCCCATCTTGACACACCCCTCACACGTTTCGTGGCCCCATACATAGGGAGCCCTGTCCAAGGCCCCAGTGGCAGCGCCCTCACATGCTTCGTGGCCCTACACGGAACCCCACCGAAGGCCCCAGTGGCAGCAAGAGATGCAGTTCCACTCCCACCTGGGCGCACCCCTCACACTGTTCGTGGCCCCATGGGGAGCACACCCGCACGTTTCGAGGTCCCGTCGGGGGCTCCGCCGCCCCAGCGGCAGCGCCCGCATGCAGTTCCCCCCCCCACCTTGGCGCCCCCCTCGCGCGTTTCGTGGCCGCCATTTGCACCGCCCCGCGCGCCGTCCTTGCCGCGCCGCGCTACCTGTGAGGAAAAGGTCGCACCCTGCACTACTCGCAGCTGCATTTGGTTGGGTCCTTCGCCAGGCTCACTGGATCGGATCGGAGCATGCATCGAATCGGGATGGCCCACGCCAGGATACACAGCAGGACTACGTCAGCACTGGATCGCATCGGATCGTCGGAGCGTCGGAATCGAAGCGACTCCTGCGGCGCCCTGACTTTTCGTAACGCTGTCCCCAGAAGTCTTGGCGGCGCGCACAAGGGGGTGGGGGGAGGGGGGAGGGCTTCTTAGAAGCAGGCTGCTTCTTAGAAGGCGCCGGCCTTACATCTACAGATAAGGCCCGCGCCTTCTAAGAAGCAGGGGTGCTTCTAAGCCCCCCCCCTCCCCCCACCCCCCTCTGCGCGTGGCTGAAAGTCACGACCCTTTCCCCAGGGCTGGCGTTTGACCCGGAGCCGATGTTTACAGTCCCGAGGCCCGGTGAGGGCGACCGGAGGCCGAAAATTGCAATTACAGACACTCCCGTCGTGGTCTTTTCACGGCCCTAGCATCCTCCCATCTGATTCTCCAATCCGCGGCCCCGGAGTTCCCAGCAGTCATCTGGCGCACCGAATCCATCTTTGCCGGTTCCAGAGCCCGAGAACGAGTCCCAGAGGTCGATGTCGAAGAGAGACGCCTGGATTGAAAAAAACATGTCGTCGCAGATCCGGGGACGCGAGCATGTCTGTAACTTGAGGCCGCCCGACAGGGGTCCGAGTAGATGGGGTCGGAGGATCGCGCCGCATCGACGATACATCGACGATGCATCGGCGACGTCGACGTGAAGCGAAACGGGATCCACATCGACCCGCATCGCCAATGCATCAGCGATGCGGCGCGATCCTCCGACCCCATCTGCGGCAGGTTCGTATCGTGCCGACCTTCGCGCTGGTTTCTGACACCTCTAGGATCGTGCAACCTTGAACGATCGGCCGTTTGCGAAACGCCAGATCGTTCAACATCAACCGATTCTGGGCCGCTGCCGGCGCTCAACGTTGAACGCCGGCGGCGGAGTTGCTGCCGTTCCACACGACGAGAACCTACCGTATGCGCTCGCAGCAGCCCTGATCTTTCCCTCCCATCTTCCCTTCCTCCCTAGCTGATCCGCGGCCCCCCACCCCGCCTGGGTGGCCACTCGGGCCAGGAGCGGTCGACGAGAAGGATCGAGGAGGATCGAGGATCGAGGATCGCTCGCTCGCTCGCTCTCGCCCATTCGGTTCGATCCATTGGAAAATTATGTGTTTTCATGAGCCTGGGGGGGGAAGTAAAAACGAACTATTACGTTTAAACCTCTACTTCGCAGCTCCGTGAAAGAGCACCGTGCACCCGAAGAGAGGAGGAGGAGGAGGAGGAGGAGGAGGAGGAGGAGGAGGAGGAGGAGGAGGAGGAGGAGGAGGAGGAGGAGGAGGAGGAGGAGGAGGAGGAGGGGGGGGAGGGGAGGAGGGGGGAGGGGGGAGGAGGAGGAGGAGGAGGAGGAGGGGGAGGGGGAGGAGGAGGAGGGAGGAGGAGGAGGAGGAGGAGGAGGATGAGGAGGAGGAGGAGGAGGAGGAGGAGGAGGAGGAGGAGGGGGAGGAGGAGGAGGAGGAGGGAGGAGGAGGAGGAGGAGGAGGAGGAGGAGGAGGAGGAGGAGGAGGAGGAGGAGGAGGAGGAGGAGGACGAGGACGCCCTCTTTTCTTACCAGGGCCGCCGCGGGGCACCGAGGCCCCGCGGCGCGCAGGCCTCCGCCGCGGCCTCTCGCGGCCGGACAGGCGGCCCTCCATGGCGGCCTCGGGAGGGCCCCTCGGAGGTGAGCTCTCGGAAGGGCGCGCCCTCGGTGCGAGCCCCCGGAGGCCCTCGGAGCGCCTCTGGGCGCCCTCGGAGGGCCCGGCTCCGCCAGGCCCTCGGAGGACCTCCCCGGGGGACCCCTCGGAGGACTCCTCCCGGAGGGGGCCCTCCCGCGGAGGGGCTCTCTCGGAGGGCGCGCCGAGAGCGAGGCCGGGGGCGCTCAGAGGTTGCGGCCGCTGTCCTCCATCACGGGCCAGCGGCCGCAACGGGGGCGGGCAGCCCAGGGGGGAGCACTGCACGATTGGCACGAATCGGGGTCCGTGGGTCTGGCGCGCTGGCGCCAGATTCCTCCTCCTCCTCCTCCTCCTCCTCTCCTCCTCCTCCTCCCCCTCCTCCTCCCTCCTCCTCCTCTCCTCCTCCTCCCCTCCTCCTCCTCCTCCTCCTCCTCCCTCCTCCTCCTCCTCCTCTCCTCCCCTCCTCCTCCCTCCTCCTGCTCCTCCTCCTCCTCCTCCTCCTGGTTAGGGGAAGGTGCCCCCGAAACATAAGGCCAGTGCAGCCTGATTTGGCGACGGAGGGAGCCGACGTACGACCCGTCGCCAACCCACGCGCCTTGATCCATGTTTGCGCTAAGCCGCTAAAGAACGGGTCATGAGTGGAAGGGTCCCGAACCCCAGCCAGGGCCTCTCTCTGGTACCACGTTTTCGTCCCAAGCCGTTCCAAAAGCAATCCCTGGTCCCGTTCTCGAGCCCTGGGAGCCCGAGAACGGCGAAACAACTGAGGGCCCGTGTGCCCCAGGACCCGCTTCTTTCATAATGGTATGTTTCTAGGGGCTCCGCTCGCCCATGCCTTCGACTAGGCTCCCCAGCGAATGCGTGCAGCGCCCGCCTCTGAGGTACGGCTGCAGGCTGCGCAAAGACAGCACCCCCAGGCAGTCTCGGCTGGCCTCAGCAGGCCCTCCCAGTGGTCCGAGGCGGTCTCAACACCTCACTCCTGGGGCGCAGAGAACCCCAGGGGCGCCGCCGAAGGCGGCGCTCGGGTGGTGAGACCGGCCCAGACTGCTCCAGGGGGCCTGCTGAGGCCAGCCGGGACAACCTGGGGGGGGGCCTGTGCGCAACCGGCAGCCTCACCGGCCCCTGGTTGGCGGCGCGCACCAGGGGGTAGGGCGAGGGGGAAGGCTTCTCAGAAGGAAGCTGCTTCCTAGAAGATCCCGGCCCTACATCTACAGACAACGCCCGCACCTCCTAAGACGCTTGCGTACTTCGAAAAAGCCTCCCCCCCTCCCCCTGCTCCCTTCTGCGCGTTGCCGACACAGGCATGCGACGTCCTGATTTTTTCAGGACGGCGTCCCCGAAGTCCAGACCCTTTCCCTGGGACCGGTTTTTCATCCTGATTCGTTTTTTGACGGTCACGAGGCCCAGCGAGGGTCACCAGGGGCCGAAAATGGCGAAAAAGCTTCCGTCCTGATTCTTTCACGACGCCATCATGTCTGGGGACATGGGCTATCCCGCCCCCCTTGCCCCCGCCGACATGGAGTACTCCACGCACGGGCCGTCGTCGGCGTCCGGCGCCCACGTCTTGCACGGGGAGCCCGCGGGCGAGTTGCCGGGCGAGCTCGCCGGCGAGCGGAACGACGGCGCCGGCGACGCGGCCTCGAAGGCGTCGTCGTCGTCGACGCGCTCGGCTGGCACCAGCCTGGGGGGGGCCTGCTCCTCGATCGAGACTAGATAAGTCGAGCGATGCTGACGGCAAAATCAAATGGAGCGATGCTGCTGGCGGACGTCGCTCTTGCCTTTCTGTGCTCAACGCGGTGTGCAGCTCAAGCCAATGCTGTATTTTAGCACTGCCTGCTGTCGCGACGGTTCGGAAAAGGAGATACGCAGGTGCGCCAAATGCACCTTGACATGTACGGCGAGCGGGATGGGACATCCCGCGCCTCCTCGCGTCGCGAACGAACGAACGAACGAACGAACCACAACTGCGGACAATCGTCCGGGCCTAGCTGAGACCAGGTGGGGGAGGCCATGGCCTTTTTGAAAGATCCGCCACCGTGCCTCTGGGCACGGACTGGGCGTGCCCTCAGGTCCTTTGCGTACGCCTCGGTCGGAAGAAGTAGGTAGAAGCATGAAGTAGGAAGGCGGATAGGGTAGATGGGGTTCGGGCCCGCCCAGAGAGTAACAGAACGCAGCAGAAGCATGCCGATTCTTGAAGTAGGAGGGCGCTGAGAGTAGATGGGGTTCTGGGAATCCAAAAAATACCTACTTTCAACGACCGATGGGCAATTCTGTTATCCCGAAGGGTCTGTTTTGGGACCCCCGAACACTGGTTTCCCCAGGGCTTGGCGCGCGCCCCCGGGGGGGTCCAGCGGCGTCCGCGGGACTCGCTCGGGCCCAGGCGGGCCCCAAGACTGGCCGAGAGTGCTCCGAGAGGCCCCAACTAGGAAGTCGAACTCTACATGCACCGACGCCTCTTCGGGCCCTGCATCGGAATGCGCACTGGAGAGCGGATCCTGGTGTACACGGGGCCCTGGTGTATGCATCTTTCGTTGTTTCCCTGGGACATCGGGAATAATAATACCTATACGACCACCCTGCGGGTGATAAGGAGGTGAGGGGGGAGGGGGAACCAACGTCTCACTCAATCGATCTCGCAGTCGATCTCACATTCGATCTCATTATCGATATCACTATCGATCTCGCTACCGATCTCACTATTGATCTCACAATCGATCTCACAATCGATCTCACATTCGGTCTCACACTCGGTCTCACTGTCGATCTCACAATCGATCTCACAATCGACGCCATCATCATCATCATCATCATCATCATCATCATCATCATCATCATCATCGTCATCATCATCACCATCATCACCATCATCACCGTCATTACCATCATCACCATCATCATCTCACAATCGGTCTGACTATCGATCTCACAATCGATCGCACTATCGATCTCACAATCGATCTCACATTCGGTCTCACTATCGATATCACAATCGATCTCACAATCGACGTCATCATCATCATCATCATCATCATCATCATCATCATCATCATCATCATCATCACCATCATCATCATCATCATCATCATCATCATCATCATCATCATCATCATCAACAACACCAACATCATCATCATCATCATCATCATCATCATCATCATCATCATCATCATCATCATCATCATCATCAGCATCATCATCATCGCCATCATCACCATCATCATCACCATCATCATCATCATAATCATCCACATCATCATCGGGACACCGACGGGACACCGACGGGACACCAGCGGGACACCGGCGGGACACCGCGCCCCACCGGCCGCCCGGAAGGGAAACATTTGGTCCGGCCGCGCCTCAGCCACAGGAGAACCGACGGGACACCAGCGGGACACCGGTGGGACACCGCGCGCCACCGGCCGCCCGGAAGGGAAACATTTGGTCCGGCCGCGCCTCAGCCACAGAAGACTTTCTCTCGCCCGCCCACGCAGCTTCGCCTCGCCCGCACGCACGGCACGCACGAACACGAAACCGAAATCGATTTCCTGGTAGGGGGGCTCTCCATTCCACTTCGATCTCACCCCCTCACCTCCGATACACCACACCACCCCAGCGTCGTCCTCGACCCTCAAGAAATCCTGAGATTGAAAAACAGCCCGCCACTGGTAGTGTATACGTTCCAGTTTCCGACCAAATACAATCCGTGAGGACCCCGAATGTCCGAAAGATCGCACGGCGTCGCCCAAGATGGTCCCAAGACGCCCCAGGAGACCTCCGAGACACACCAAGAGAGCTCCAAGAGCCTCCCTAAAGAGGACCCCGAGAGGCCAAAACCATTGATGTTCCAAGGGTTTTCCAATCATGTTTAGGGGCCCTCGATCTTTCGAAAGCTCGGCGCTCCGAGACAGCCCAAGAAGCCCCCCAAAAAGTCCCCACACACAGCCCGAGAGGGCTCCGAGACGGCCCCCGAGGCACCCAAGACGGCCCAAGAGGGCCCAAAGATAGCCCCACCCCAAAAAGAACCCAAGGGGGGGAATGCGAACCAAAAATCAGACTCTGCCGCCCAAATCAAAATCTCCAGCAGGCCTCAACGAGGCCTTGGGAGGCCCCGAAAGGCCCCAAGAGACCATCCAAAAGCCCCGAAGACGCACAAAGAGCCCCCAAAACGGCCCCGAGAAGCCTCAAAACGGCCCCCAAGAGGCCCCCGAGAAGCCACCCGCGACGTCACCACGAACATCCCAAAGTGACCCACAACCCAGGCACGGTAGCGGGATGGGCCGAAAGCCACTAGATCCGCCGCCCCCTGTCGATTCATCGCAAGGGCGCCTGGCGTGCTGGACCCTTCGGTTTTGGTCTTGGTTCTTTTCCGAAAGAACTCCCCGTGGGGCGTCGGCCAGTCCCGACGGCCACCCGGAAAGGACCTCAAAGAGCACAATTCCCCAATGGTTCGCTCAAGATGGCCCAAGATGGCCTCCAAGATGGCCACGTTGGCCCAACATGGCTTCCAAGATGATCCAAGATGGCCTCCAAGTCCGCCCAAGATGATCCAAGATGGCCCCAAGACGGCCCCAGAGAGTCCAAGATACCTCTGAGGTCGCCCGAAGAGCCTCCAAGACGGCCCAAGACGACCCAAGAGGCATCTTAGAGGTCCTCCAGGAGGGCTCGAAGAGGCCAGAATCATTGGTTTCCCTCAGATTTTGGAAGGGTGTTGGCATTTGCTTCTCGGCATTCCGACGACTGAAGACGGCCCACGAGGCCCCAAAGATCGCCCAAAAATCGCCCACGAGGCCTCCAAGATGGCCCCACGACGGCCCAGGAGGCCCCCAAGACGGCCCCAAGAGGGCCCCAAGACGGGCCAAGAGGCCTCCAAGACGCCCAAGATGGCCTCTAAGACGGCCCTGGAGCACCCCAAGAAGGCCCCATGTCGGCCCAGAGAGGCCCCCCAAACGGCTTCCGACGGCGTCAGACGGGCCAGGAGCCCATCAAGATGGCCGAAGTTGTTTCTAGACTAGCCCAAGACGACCCAAGAGGCCTCCTGGAGGGCGCCCCATCGGAGGGCTCGAAGAGGCCAGAATCACATGTTGTCCTTAGGTTTTTGAATGATTTTGGCATGTGTTTCTTTTCGGCCTTCCGACGGCCCGAGACGGCCCAAGAGCCCCCAAAAGATCGCCCCAAGATCGCCCAAGAGGCCTCCAAGATGGCCCCAGAACGGCCCCAAGAGGCCCCCAAGACGGCCCCAAGAGGCCTCCAAGGCGGCCCAGGAGGCCTTTAAGTCGCCCAAGATGGCCTCCAAGGCGGCCCTGGAGGATTCCAATAAGGCCCCAAATCGGCCCAGAGAGGCCCCCCAAACGGCTTCCGACGGCATCAGACGGGCCAGGAGCCCACCAAGACGGCCGAAGATGGCCCCACGGCCCAAGAGGCCTCCAGGAGGGCCCCCAGGAAGGCCCGAAAAGGCCAAAATCATTGATCCCCCACGAGTTTTTCAAGGATTGTGGCATTTGCTTGCTTCGGCCTTCCGACGGCCCGAAACGGCCCAGGAGCCCCGAAAGATCGCCCAAGAGGTCTCCAGCATGGCCCCAGAACGGCCCAAGAGGCCCCCAAGACGGCCCCAAGAGGCCCCCAAGACGGCCCAAGGGGCCTCCAAGACGCTCAAGATGGCCTCCAAGACGGCCCTGGAACACCCCAAGAAAGGCCCAAGTCGGCCCAGCCTCGCCCACCGTGTTCCCAGTACTCTTTCCAAACCGACTCGGTGAACACATGGTCCGATAGCTCGGCAGGCCTCTGGCCACAACGTTCGGCCACACAGGCGTTTCCAAAAAGACAAGGGGCGGCGGCGATTCGCCGCAGGCGTCTTCGATAGGAATATGCAACTTGACTGGCAAGATAACAGTAAGTGAATCCAGAGGGGGGAAGAAGAGCACCGGTTGTGGATGCCGGCGACGCGCCTGTGAGTCGGTCGCGTGCTATCATGCATTGTGCGCGTAGTTGTGGTCGAGCGTCGACCGAGTGGGTGCGTCTTGATTCCATTGGGCCCAGGCGGGGTCGGCAGCATGGCCTTCCGCGGTGGTCGGTGTTGGCGCTGGGCGCAGGTCGGATCTTTAGTGGCGTCGTCGCGCCGCCGCTTTCGCTGACCGCCTTCCTGTCGTTGCCCTCGCTGTCGCGGGTTTTCCCCCGGGTGCTGGCGCGGCGCCCCCCGCGCCCACCTTGCGCGATCGCAGCTGGAAACCCCCGAAAGCATGCGCCATGAATTCTGCCGACGACTTGTCACCCAGCCGGTGATCCCGCGGTGCTTCATGCGAGGCCCTGCGCGCCGCGTAGCTCGCCGAACGCAATCGACCCAGGACCGTATATAAAGCTGAATGTCCACATTTGCGGCGGTGACGTCGTCGCAATCGCTGTGCTTGTCCACAGTTGCTATTTCGTCACGTGGTGGCGGGTTGCTGTCCGCGCCGTTGCTGGCGCTGTCAGCGCTGAGATCATTGCACGGCATTTTGTCGTCCGTGCCGCCAAGAGCCATGATATCGCGGCTGCAACGGGAGCCCGCGCAACGGATGGCGCGTCGTCGGGGCGCCCCGATGATCACGCGGAGCATGCGTCGGCCGCAAGTATTGCCGGAAAAGTTCCGCGAGCGTCCACGTCTGTCTCCCGCGGAGTGAGGCCGGGGTAACTGTGCTGTAGACTAGCCGGAGTCTGCGCGCCAGTGCTTGACGCGAAACAAACGACGCCCGCGCGGCCCTCGCGCGGCGGTGGATACCCGTTCCCATCGCATCGCGAAAACCAATGTGTTAGGCAATCGGGAAATTTGGAACTGCCTTCGCGCGGAAAGACGTCGGCGCCCCTGCCCTGGACGCGCGCCGCGCCCGAGCTCACTTTGCTGGCCCGCTTCGCCCGGTTGTTTAGCATCCTGGCTTCGGAAAGGCTCGAGTCGGCACCTTTACGCCTCGCGCGCGCCGTCGTCGAGCATCGTCGCGGGGCGCGGAAGAGCGCGGCTGGCCGGGCGCGCGTCGCCGGCGCTGCGAAGGTCGGCGAACGCGGCGGCGGCGGCGAGCTGGAACCCTCGCCCTTCCCTTGCCAATCGGCAATCAGCGGGCCGAGAATGCGCTGCAGGAGAGCGTCGAAGAGGAAGGCATTGCGCGGGTCGCCTTGATTCGCGCCCCGCGCAAGGTCGAAGGGCCAGCCTCTCGCGCCCGCCCTGGCCGCCCCCGCCTGACCCTCGCATAACTGATGTAATAGTGAAGTGCATCCTGGCTCAACGCCTCGCGCCTTGAGCGAGCGCTGCCCATGCGCTCCGGCATTCGACTGCGCCGAAAGCCGCCGAAATCCTGTCTGGAGACCGAGCGCCCCAATCCGCGCGCGCGCTCTGAGGATGTGAGCAAGTAGTAGGTTGTCGAGCGTCACTGTCTGACGCCCGATTGGTCTGCCGCCTGTAGAGAGCCAGGTGCCGGCTGGACTCGGTCGCAGAGAAATCGCCTGAAGAGCTAGAGAAGTCCGCTGAGAAGCACGCAGCGGAGCGGCAGTTCCGGGGGGGGGGCGAAGTCTCCATCGGACGCGATCACTGCGACAAAACAAAAGTGCTCTTCCAGCTGGCCAGCGGCAGGACGCCGAACTGCATCCGCCCCGCTCCCTGCGGAGCCGCTGGGCTGCAGGGCGAGGTCGCCGCCCCCTTTGCCAGCTGCATATTCTTCAAATCTCCCATGTCACAGCCCTGCTTCCTGATCCCCACTGCGCGCTGTTGAAGTCCGCGAAGTCCGCGCGAGGGGGGGCGCAAATTTGATCCAATTTACCGCGCCAGGGTCGCGCTGCCTAAACTCCGGGGGGGGGGGGGGGGCGCGGGGCGCGCAGAAATGCGCGAGACTCGCGCCCCTGAGGCCATAATCCCTCGCAAATTACTCTGCGCTCGCGCCCCCGAAGCCACGCGCCCTCGTGAGCTGCGCATTTCTTGCGTCCCCGAGGCAACAAACCATCGAATATTCATACGACATTTCGCGCCCCCGAAGCAAC